TTTCATATGCAAACAGCTCTACAGAAATTCCCCAAAACTCCAGTAACAGCTTTTCTGATTGATTGACGCTCGGCCGTCCAGTGGCAATTAAAATTTTTGAACTCCAGTGTCAAAAGTTCAGATGCTGGGATGCTCGGAATTGCCGCTCCCAACGTTGGACCTCACAACGCCATCACCCATAGACTTTACATGCATTTTGACTCCCAGAAAGCTTTTGGTATGAATGCAGCTTTACTTTGCCTTTTAACTTTGGTCAACTATATACATTTAAACATAGATAATCTTCTAAATACAGTCCTTAGTAAGTTCATTAACAACACATACTAAGATATTTCTGATTGAAACCAACTGATAATCAAATATTAGTTAACAAACAAAGTTTGCACCAAGAAAATGAAGCAACGCAACAACTCAAGTTGTCAAGCATGAAGAAAATATTAAATAAGACCAAATTCATATAAGAGCTAAATGATTCCAAAAACGTTTAACAGAAAACCACAAAAAATGCACAGACAGTGAAACAGTGTAGCTAACAACTAACCTTATGCAAGATAAAAATTGTATTTAAAATAAATCCATGTCATTTACCTTACTTTTGTTTCTTTCACTTTATAAAAAAAGCAATAAAAAAAAACAAAAAACAAAAGTACAAATGGTGTGTGTTAAATTCATGTGGATGTAACAAATGACTTATTTAGCTTTGTGTTTAATAGTAAGAGAAGGGAAGGGAAGGGTGCGTAGGCAGGCAAGTGTTAAACATTTATTCTGACAGCCAGGGTAGAGATGTGACTGGTGTGACTGGTTGTTCCTATCGCTGCCGCTCACATTAATGTTAATGCACTAACAGACAGACCCCCACTCTCCCACCCGCAACCTAGATCTCTGCAGGCAACAAAGCATGTAAATTGGGGTGAGGTTTGTTTTTAAATCTCATTCTCCTTACATTTTCAGTTATTTCAAAACAGCTTTTTGATGACTCACTTCTTGAATTGTTAAATGGTTGGGTCCTGAGTTATCTGGAAGTATTTCAAAAAGTTACAAATGTCACCTAGCCTAACCTCAAATAAAAAAAAATCTACATTACACATTGTTTCTATTAAGAGCAATGAGAAAAAGCAGGCTTACCAAATGTTCTTCTGATGCCATATTAAGACTCAGAGAGTCATTCATTCATTAATTTTATCACATAAGCTGGTTGCTACAAAAAACAGTCATCTCTCTTTCTGTTGCTGTTAGCAAAACATTTTGTGTTGCTAGAGCCTGACTTTTCAGATATTAGCAAGTAAAGTATCATTGTCCTCTTCTCCTCACAATGATGGCTACTATGCATTTGGTAAAGGTTACAATCATGATAAATGCATATAGTTTTTTTTGTTTGTTTTGTTTTTTACAGTGTCCTGTCTGGCGATGTGGCAATAATAATAATAATAAATGCATATAGTGACAGAGACAAAAACCTTTAGGATTTATATACTAGATCAGACCAGCTAGATTCATTGTGGTCTCTGACCTCAGACAAGACAAGATACATATAAGAAATGCAACAGTAAGAGCGGCAACAGATGTACTGTAGAGTTACACTGAAAGTAGATTTTATACACACAATATGTTTCTGTGCATGAGTTATACGTTAAAGTTTGGGACTTCCATGCATAGGTTTAATGGCAGAAATCTGATATAAAGTCATACAAACCTCATATTAAATTTCTTTGCAGCAGATCTTAAACCAAAAGTAGAAAATCAAAAAGCTGATAGAAAGTCCTTTGATTTCATTACTTGCTGAAGTGTTGGCCCATTTTGTGGCAGGCAAATTGCCCACAAAATGTGTGGTGAGCGACAGCATGCTAATGAGGTTAAAAATTTACTGGAATTGAGTTTGATATGAACAATTCATTAAAAATGCAATTACTTTGTTTGTTAAAGGTTTAAGACCACTAATAAAGAAAAAAGTTAATATGAAATCACTGAATAAAAGCACATAGTTTAAAATAAAGAAGCGTATATAAATTTTTACATTTTACACCGAGCTCAATAAGATAAATATAAAACATAGATTAAATCTTGAGTAAAGACTTTACTGAGCCATTAACCATAAGCAACAGTAAACTTACCCAATCTAGAATATGGAAACCACTCTAGTCCTTGTAGGTTTTGTTTACATGTGTAGATTGATCACTCGTAAAAAAAAAATGGAGAAAATAAAAACTTTATTGTGCAAACATTTTCTAATATATTGTGCAATTTTATTTATTATAAAGAACACCTTACACATTTTTATACATTCTTAGAACATGAATAGAGCATAGTATGAGGGGATAAACTTAAAAATTATTTTTGTAAACATTTAACACTAATGCTCTGAAGGATCAGACATGTTCGCTGACTGCACTTATAACTACACTGGGCCTATTCCCTCACTTCCCCCATCTTTCCTCCTCTGTCAGTCCTTCCTGCCTCAGGCTGCGTTTTCCTCCGTTGTTCTCTACATCGTTACCATAATCAGATAAGACAACTACCTAGGGAGCACCAGCATCCCTACAGCACCTTGCTTCTGGCACCTTAAGTGTGTGTGTGTGAAATGCTCCTGGCACTTGGAAATTGGTATTCCTTTTGACTGTCTTTTTTTTTGTTTTGATCTGTACAAACTGACAGATGACTGGTCTGTGCATGCTCATGTATGCTTGTGTCTGTCTATATGTGTAGAAATGGGATTTTTACTTCTCTCCTTCTTAAAGTAATAGCTGCATTTTGGTTGACAGATTGCTACAAATTACCACTGAGTAGTGAGTTTGTGTCAGCGTGTTTATGTAACAGAGTGAGCAGATAAGTGTGTGTGCATGCCTGAGTGAGAACATGAGTATGTGAATAATGTTTGCATGTCAAGGCTAATTATGATCTTTTTCTGAATGGTCAAAACAAATCACATCACAATACCATTACACAAAAAGGCAGACTTATTTACAGAAAGGCAGAACCGCGCCACATATCAAAACACCCCAAAGCTACAAAAAAGGCTCACTTTAAGCAAAAGGCCTAAGAGCCTTTCTCAATGTCTTGTCTGAATTGGAACATGGAGTAGTGTGCTATGCTGAGACACACATCACAACTTTATCCCTAGAAGGGATTCTGCTTACTTTTTATTCACTGTTTACAATCTGAGCCATCAGCAACACTGCATTTAGTCAACAACAGGTTAGGCTGCCACATTTTTACAGCATCAACACCCATCAGCAAACTGCAAACTAAGGTGTCAAGCTAGATTCCCTCTTCAGGATGAAAGATCGAATGACGCTGCAAATTGCTCAGTTTTCATACAGCAGGAGGATTTTTTAAACAAATCACATAAAAGAGTAAAAGTATAAACTCATGGTTTATATGCAGGACAAATTATACAAAATTTAGAAATGTTCAATTTTTAAGTTTTAACAGCTTCCTGTGGACTACACTCAATTCTGCAAAGTGTTATTAAAGCGGGTAATTATGTAATACAATGCAGTCACCAATTACTGTATGCAAAGGAAAGGGACTACAAAGACTTTCACACAAAATTTAAGAATGTGCATAAACAAAAAAAGTCCACTCAAAATGACAATTGGGTTACTTGCTAAAGATTACAAACATTTACAATTGCAAAGCTGCTCAGTGTAATCATGATTCCTCTGGTTAGTGTCATTGGCAGTATTTGTGATGATGAAAGAATGAGGCAGTCCAGTGGAAAAATCTGTACAATGATCCACTTTATCAGAGACCGCAATAACACACACAGGGATTCATTTAGACCTCAAAACTCTCTCCCCTTCACTAGCTCCCACTTAAGAGTGATGATGGTGTATGAAAGAGTTTTTTGTCCACGAATGCCATGAACTGCTCTATTTTCACTCACCTACAATATTTGCCGTTGACATAAACCACTTAAGTGAACTGAGGTAGATGACAAAGAAAACCAAAGTGATAAAATAAAAATAACGGAAACCTCCGAATGATTTGTAATCAGAATACATGCATTATAGATCTATTTAATATTATTTTCTATTGGTTTATGTTCCTTATCTAGTTTATGTTCTAAGTATTTTGACTATAGTTAATATAAGTTAAGTCACTTTAGTTGAATCAATTGGATAACAGTAGACGGCTAAAATAAACCAACTGGCATAATTGTTCTGCCTCTTCCATGTGTCATGACACAAAAAAAGCTTTAACAATATCTACCAAATGGTGACTTAAAATCACTCCAAATTTTAAGAGATAATTCTGAAATGTATGACAAATATTCATGTTATAAATACAAAATGTGACAGACAATGTTGGTATTGATATTAAAGATTGGGTATCAATTAAAAAAGGCCCGAGCCATAGGGAAAGATTTAGTCTGCCTATTTCTATAATAAATTCAAGTTTAGTTAAAAATCTCCTGAAAGTTTACTCCTTGATAGGCATATGTCTTTAGCTTAATAAATAGAACCAATTTTAACCCTTACAGCTGTATATTTGTCTAAACAAAATTTAATGTTTTCCTGACTTATTTTCTGTCCTTATGCTAATCTTAAGTTGCCTTTTTCACATGTACAAATCTACATTCATACATGCTGGTAGGGCGAAGTTTATATCAGCTTCTTTAGAAATCAACAGTAATGATGATATCTTTAAAACAAACAGAGCTCTGGTATCCAATAACAATCCGGTTCTGTGGATATACAAGCTTTAAATATCTGAATAAGAATTGAACAAATTTGCAGCGTTACATTCTTTGACAATTATTTTCCTTATGGAGACAATGCTTACACATTTTTTTCCTCAGTTGTTTGTTTTATCCAAAATTGAAGCAGAAAACTATTTTGTTTTCTTTTAATGGTTTATGCAGTAAAACAAAATGTAGTAATAAAATTAATTTTAAAAAACTATCAAATAAGATACAATATTTCATAAAAGGAAACTCTAAAAATCATAGAACCTAAAAAAAGTAATCCTGATAATTGATCCCAAGAACTACTATTTCCTACCTGCAAAGTAAGATGAGTCCATCTGTTCAGCTGTAGCCGTCCTTCTGTTCTGAAGCTTACACTAGGAGAGGTCCGACCATTGGTCGCATTGTATCGGAAGGTTACAGCTCGCTCTGATACTGTCAAAGAAAAGACCAACCGCTTCTCTGAGCTTTTCTCCAGCAACATCCTGCAAAAAAGAATACATTATAACAGTCAACAAATCGCAAATTGAAATTTGGCAAGCCTAGAAAAAAAAAATAACAAGAAAAAAGCCCACTGAAGCTGAGCACCACAACACATAGTACCTCATTTTGTCAATTTTACAATGAATTCCAATATCTTACATAACTGGGAGGGTTTAAATGTTGCATGGTGGATGGAAACCTACAACCGCCACGTGTCATATTAACCACCTCCACTGACATTTTATGGGAAATCATGGCTTTTATGAACCCAGGGCAATATACCCAATAAATCACAGAATCCTCCAGATGGATTCATGAGAAAAGGAGCATTTAAATTAACAGTAGACAGTGAGCATATGCAGAGACTTGTATCTCCATATGCATGTCTAAAAAAAGCATGAGAAAAAAATTTATTAGACAGATTAAAAGGGACAGATAATTAAGCAGCAAATACCAATTGGTCAAAACCTTCTTTCCTCAAAGTTAAAAGCCAGTTGGTTAGTTTCTCAAAGAGATTAGATAAATCGTTGGAGAAAAATGTATGATAAATTCTTGGACGTGAATGTATGTTGGTGTTAGTTTGATTTCTGTGTCAAATATTCTTCTGTCATTTTTTCCCTTTTGTCTGCTTTTTGCTTTTGTTGGTCTTAAAACAACAAACTTTTCATCAGCCTAGGAAAGTTTTGAACATTTTCTGATTAACCTCATTTATATACACAGGTATATAAAAAAACTGAAACCACAAACGTTTCTTACACAAAATAAGAACATGGCATATTCGGTTTCTTGTTATTGATGCAATAAATAGTATGGGTTGTGAGAACAGGTGGTTAGCTCTGTCCATTGTTCAACTGAAAGGAGGGATGTGAAATCACAGAGAAATGAGGAGACAAAGAAATGGGGTGAGGAGCAATGGACAGAGGTGAAGACAGAGACCTCCTTTCATCTGGCTTTTTTGATGGCAGCCATGATCATCTCAACAACAAAAGAATGATGGGCAACAAGAGCAAGAGTAACAGAGGCAGGGAAAGTGAGTGAGAGGGAGAGATACGACTCTATTGAGACGCATTCAGCCATACAGGTGTCATGTTCAGCAAGCCAAGACAACAAGAGTTTTCCATCATCTGACTCCCCAGACATTCAGCTTCGTAAACACATTGAGAAATATCAGACAACCTGACAATTCCAATTTAATTTTACAAACAGCAAAAAATCTAATGCATTGCTATGAAACCATTGATGTATTGTATTTGAGCTTTCTCCAAACCTGAGGCCTCCTTTAAGTACCAGATGCATATCCCTCTGAGGCCCATTTTACAAAAGCTGAATTCAGAAATCCATGATAAGAGATAAAACCTTGCTTGGTCTAACATGATAACTGCAACCTGGCGTCATGTATTTCATAAAGACTAAGCCAGGGTCAGCAGGTGCAGCTATGTCCGGACAGGAGTTACTAAACAAGCCTAATTCAGGTCTCTAGCTTCAATTGCTTATGAGGTCAAACACACGTTCAATCCGAATACCTCAAATTAGTAAGCACACTAAAGCTAGAGTGGAAGTGCATCTGCTGTCGCCATAAAAAGTGTGATAATAGCGATGGCAGTTACGAAGGAGCTAGAACCAGGAAGCAGCATGCTTTCTCATGTCAACCAGCTAGAATAGGGAGCTTCTGACGTCCCTAGCCTTCGATAGGAACTATACTATACAACAATCCACTGTGTGATCGGCGTTTTCGGCACAGCCCACCTCAGTTTAACAGAAATAGATTATTTCTTGATATCAGTAAGACACGTCATTACCTTCATATTGTTTTGGTTTCATATCAGAAAGCCTCATCCAACATTTGTCTAACTTTTTTCTTTGTAGTTCTGATTGCCTGTACCCCCAATTTGACACTCGGCAGCGATTTCCTTTATTATGGAACATCAGTGATCGGCCAATACATGGAAATGAAATCGATCTTATCCTCCACTGCAAAGGTCTAGAAATTGCACATTGTAAATGGGCAATGTCTCTAAACTTTGCATATGTATTTACGATGACTACCTAATGGGTAGTTATGTTTTTATTGCTTCAACATTGTTGGATGTATTTCAGTAAATAAAGACAGAAATATTGAAGATGTCTTGTTAAGGATCAGTAATTGTTCAGAAACCTGCAAGCAGTTAAGGAGTTACTTATTTTGCTCAAATGAACAACTAACTCAAAAACTGACAGTGGAGAGTAACATTGTAGGTGATAATTTTTGATTAGATCCTTTTCACTGCCTTTTAATTTGTTGTTCTTATAACTATTGTTGTTGACTATTTTTCCCTGAGTATCTCTTCATAAAGCCTTTTCTAATATGCCAAACAATGAAAAAGGAAATAAAATGATATATAATTCATGCTATAATATCGGTTAAATATTGGTATTGATCAGTACTTAAAACTACGATATAAAAAAAATTAAGTTGGGAGACTCCTACAACAGTTTACTTGGATGTGCTAACACATAAGATTCAGTAACTAAATATTTTTAAAGATTTAAGACGGGGAGTGGGGCTTGTGAACATCTCAGTTGCCAATCAAAGTCAACAGGTCTGTTTTGCGAATGCATTTCCCTGGTCTACAGACTGGTGCATGTGATTGAAAGCTGATCTGAGCCTCTGTAACTGTGCACCACTCTGGCAAGGCCTGGAACATCCCAACACACTCACTCTCGCTTTCTCCAACACTCAAAGAGTCTAAGTAAGACATGACAGCTTGTTGTTTCCTGATGTGATACTCACCTGAACAGACATGACATGTTTCTTATGAGATCAGTTTCAGGCTGTTTTCACTTTCAGGAAAAATATACAAAACTGTAAGGACCAATATATGCAATATTGGATGAAAGTTATAACGGAATATTTGACAGAACTTACACATATAAATGATTTGAACCAGGATCCTGCACAAATGTCATTAAGTGTCAGTATGTCAAGCTGTTCTCACATCGTTTCCTGTTTTGCTACGAGCTATGGCAAATGGAAAGATTCGTCTTACACAGGGTCTAAACAGAAACAATGTACTTTTGTGGGTTCATCTTGCATCTTTAAAGTTTGCATGGTGATACTTTTCATGCATGTCACTGATGGGAATCACAGTTTTCTGTGATTCCCATCAGTTCAACCATTTAGGGTGCAAAGTTGGATGAACCAACATTGGTAATAACAGAGCATCTGCAAACCATATAATGACATTAAGTGTCATCATTGGTTCACTGCTGGGACATTTCAGTAACACAAGTGTCAATTGCATAGCAGTGGCTCATAGGTGCAGTATCGGAGCATTATTTACTAAGAGATACAGGATATCCAGCTAAGGTAAAGATGATGAAAAGGGACAGCCTCTTAAAGGAACCATTCTTCAAAACACCAGAACTTTGCTTTCAATTTATTGCTCTCAATGTAATTTTATTTTAATCAGTTGCTCTGATTTGGGTCAAGTTTTAGAACAGCAAGCTGCATGTACTTGAACTACTTTTCAATGAAGTCATAAAAATAGGATGTTTTCACATTTACAGAATTCGATATCTTGTGCAGAAGACATCCAAAAAGCACTGAAACCTATTAAAGATGCCACTCTAGTGATGTTGGAGGACAGTATACTAACAGTGTCACTCACAACACAGTTTCATCCCAAGCTATTCATGGGCACTGATGAATTGGATATGGTGAAGGACATAAAGGAAGCAATAGCTCAAGATTTAAACTAAACATGTGTCAATGACAAGATGACGAAAATTATGTCTTTAGCCGTTGACCCTTGTAGACATCTACAGTTGAGACAAGCTTTGGTGGTTGAGAAATACGTAAAAACAAAATGGTTTAAGCACAATACTGGTTGATTTTTACATGTTGTTTACATCTTTCAATTCATTAATATTTCTTTTCATGATCTACCCTGATAGCTGGCCTTAATTGCTCATTTCACTCACCTGCCTAGTCTGCCCAGTTCATAATCATCTCTGATCTCGTCCACCTGTAGGTTCTGTTTTATATTCAATCCAGCCCAGCTATCGTGGCATATCATTCTTTGATGTCTCACCCGTGGTGAGAGTGTTTCAGCGTTTCCGGATTGATTCCGTTTTCCTGATTCCGCTCCCTCTCACCCACTGACCCTGTCTGTCCCTGTCTCACCTGCGTGCCTGAACCTCTGTTAGACTCCTGCTGGATTCTGCCTCCCAAGTGCGTTTCTGTCTGAGCTGGATGCTCGGCGGACTCTGAAGCTGCCTTCGCACTCTGGATTCCTGGAACCCGTATCTGTCTGTTCCTAAGTGGACTGTACTGTTAAACCAGGTAAGTGACTCACTAATCATCTTTTCAGATGATTGTGGTCACTTACCTGTGTTTCTCGCTACAAAATCAGTGATAGGTTGCCCTCCGCACCTGCAGTCGCTGCGGTTGCAGTTCCACAGTAGCACGTTTCTGTTCTTACGTTTTGAACTTTCCTACTGGCTGTCTCATCTTGAATACTGGGTCCATCTATCCCGCTTTATGACATTTCTAGCCTGATTTTGATTTTCAGCAACATGAATGAGAGGAGAACGAATATATTAAACAAAATCAACCAGTGACCAACCTCCAGCCACTACTGGAGGGAAGTGTAGCATCATGTGCTTTAGCTGACCTGCTTGGTAGACTTTTACCTTTGCAACGGACATTGCTGCACAAAAACCTGTACCTGAGATTGCCACAACTGAGGAAAGAATGTTTAGAGGACAATGACCCTCTTGCCTGGTGAAGGAAGAATATTGCAGATTCCCCTTATATTGGTAGAGTTGCAAAGTTTTTTTCTCTGCATTCCGGGTACAAGTGTCTCTAGAGTTTTTCTCTACTGTAGGAGACATAGTTCCTGCTTAAAGAGGTATAAAGGCTGCATACACAAACCAGCTTGTGTTCTTACACAACAATCTTAAGATAAAAAAAAAAAGGAATAGATGAGCATTAAAATGTCAACACTACTCAAGTCACAATTAAGTTTTTTTTTTTTCGTATGTTCAGGCATAGGCTTTGGTTACCTTTAACAAACGTTTTGCCCTTTTGTTTATAATTGATTCTATAAGGGGCAGATTGCAAGATTATAAATACTGATAAGAATGTTAAGTCTTTTAAAGCTAAAACCTGGTACTTATTTAGTGTAGAAGGATTTTTGCTACCGCAGAAAATTTACTTAAGCAGAAATGCGATTTTAATTTAAAACAAAATAGACTAGCACATTTAGCCTTTGTTCTAATTTTGAACTTAAATGTGGCTGTTGTGAAAAACTATTTTATTTTTCATTTAAAACCACCCAGCAAGCACAGGAATTTGTAGCAAATAAATTAAATATATTTCATGCAGTAGTCTTTTATTATAATTAATTATAATTAATTTCTTAATTATTATATACATATAATATATTATTAAAAAAAAGAAAAAATCACCATAAATTGTCTATGATGCCATATTGCGATAAATGTTCATGACATGTATAGTTTCATGTTGGATTTGTTTTATATTTAATTGCATTTAGCTTTTTGGAATTTAAATTTAGAGATAGGTTTAAATTAGATTTAGTTTTCCATAAGACCCATTTCTAAGTGACTGGCCATGGATAACACACTGTCTAGCTTATCTGAAATCTGACTCAAAATGTCAACTAATGTGGTGTTCCTTTTTAAACAAAACCCTCTTTTATATCAAAAGTTCCACACTGGTTAGTCAGTTCAGAGAGGATGACATACTTAAAAGCTGTGTTTCTTCCAAAAGCAACACTGAAATCCAATATGTTTAAAACAACGTCACTTGGGTATGCAGGCTTAATAAAGGGACCCTTAGTTTTTTTTTTTTTTTTAAAGGTTACAGACACATCTACAAGCTCCAGGACCTAAATAAAAATGTTGCACTCATTAGATCTTTAAATTATTGTAGGATTTTCTGTTTTTCTCTGAATTCAACAAATGGTTAGCAACATTTTTGCTTAAGAACTTACACACCTCACCTAATGTGACAATTTGTATTTTTCATCAAAGTGGGCCGGATTTTTCAGTAAATGGTAAACTGCAGTAACTATTTGAATACACCCAATTAAATTATATGATATTAGACAAGAAATATTTGCATTTTTTAAGGGCACCTTAAATTATAAGCATCAAACTCACATTTCTCCATTGGAGCTTGGCTTTAACCAGACAGCCAAAGTAAGGGAACCACGTGGTCCTATTGCCTGTGAAGGAGGAGTGACCAGACATCCATCTTCGCTGGGCTGAAACAGTACACTCTGAGCTACAACAGAAAGTCCATCTGGACTTGTTGTGCTTCCAGCCGCTGTTTCCGTCCCAGGATGAGTGTCAACCACATCTTCAGTTACACAGGTACCCCTGGCAGAATTAAAATACTACAGGTCAACACAGGCACCTCAAAATGGTTTTATGTGTACAAATATCTCAACATGTTTTTATTTTTTGTTTAAGCAGGCTTTTTTGATAATTAAATGGGCTATCATCTGTACTCATGATCCCTTTTTATTCCCTTCTTCTGTAGTACTTAGTAGTTTTGCGCCGATGCCATTTTTTGGCCCTGGTACCGATACCTGGCTGTGCAGTATTCTGTTTGAAATTGAAGTGTGTGAGTGTATATGAAGAACTATATACTACTTGGATGTAAAATAATTGCCATCATGGCTTTGTCAAGCTGCTGCCTACCTTTGTGAAGCAGGAGAAAGACTAATACAAAGTGAATCCAGTAGAACTTTTTATTGCCTTCCTGGAATGGGTCACAATAGTTGAATAACGTTTTGGCTCTCAAGATGGTATCAGTGCCCTATTAGTTGTTACTCACCGATACCCCCGCTTTACTTACATAAAATATAAAAGATCTATTTATGTATAAAGACTTTTTGATCCAATGTTCTAAACGTACTTTTAACTTAAAGGTACATCTAACATTTTGTATGCAGTACCAATAACAATAATTCTAATAAATTAATGATAATAAATAATGTGGGGATATATTTAAAAAGCCAAAGACTATACATAGTACTGTAATAACTTTCTAAAGGCTTCAACGAGCTACCTTTGTGGAGCGAAGAGCAGTTGCGCATACGGTGGTGTGGAGGATCTATAGGGGCACTCCTGGACACACATGGCTTCAAAACACAAATGCAGTTCATCCCGTGAGGAAGGTGATTGGCAGTAGCTGCTCTGCTTTGGAAAACCACAGGTGGATCGAGCCGGCAGTGTGGACACAGGTTTGAAAGCTGCAACATTCTCCATTCGTGGGAAATGTCCCTGCGAAGATGTAGAAGGGGTGACAAGCTCCTATCTTAGCTGGTATTGTCTACTAATATCATTAAGCATAGAGAGCTGATGATTATCAAAGGCATCCCATCTAAAAATAAAACTGTTGGAATAGAGTTAAAAATAACTTGTGGGACAAGGTTCTATTTTACAATTTGGTTGGTTTTATTATTAAATATATTTCATTTATTTAATAATAGTAACAGAAGTACACTTTTTTAAGAAGTATTAGTATATGTTTTAGTGGCAAAAACAGAACTAAGGCTCACTAATAATTAATATAAAAAAAAAAAAATCAAGTAATAATCGCTCTAACATTCAGGCACACCTAAATAGGAAAAAAACATTAAGATTGTTGCGCATGTCCTACAATATATATGTCAGTCTAACCACCAAGTCCCACTTTGTCCAGCTACACTCTAACTTCTTTGACCTCCTAATTTGCAATAAATCCACTCTATCAGGGTCTCCAGGAAATGTGTGCAGATTTAGCATTAAAAGCTTGTTAATAAAACGGAAATCAGACCACAGCAATTCCTGTCTTTTATTTTAAAACTGATTAAAACTTCTTTGCTTTTCGTTTTAGGGCATCCGGATATTTTCAGGAGTTATATATATATATATATCTACAATGGGTGATAACCAGCCTCACACCGAGCCAGGTTCTGCTCAAAGTCTCTTCCTGTTAAGAAGGAGTTATTCCTCTCCACTGTCAAAGCATGCTTGGTATGAAGGATTGCCTTTAAGTCAATGAGTCGATGCAATCAACTGGTTTTCCTTAGGTAGAAAACTTTGAATCAATTTGACTGTATGATCTGGTTAAATTGTAAAGTGCCTTGAGATGACATGTTGTGAATTGGCGCTATATATATATTAAAAAAACTGAGCTGACAAGTACAGTGAGCGCAGAGAAGCTACATTTGTTGTTTCTATTTGTTCTTCAAATATTCAGTTGTTTGGTTTAGATTACCTATTTTAACATACAGCCCAGTGATTGTTCTAATGTAGGCAGTTGATAGTATACATACATATATAACAATACTCATAAATGCCTTAAAATAATAAGGCTTTTAAGCAAATAAGGTCAAATTTAGTAAACTATTCGAACATATGTATGCTGTAATCCTTCAATTTCCTGCTGAAACAATGGGATTTATGAATATTTACTGCGGTCTTGCTGTGGCTTCCGGATAGAACAGAATTTAATCAAGTTTTGCCAGGGTACCGTCTGCTCGCTGCTGCAGTACGGAGACACTCTAAATGCACTGATTGATCATAATTGTTGCTTATTTGCTCCACAGTTTGTAGCTGAGCAGAGCAGACGCTATGTAAATTAGTAGTAATGCTGTCCATAGTTAACAAGGATTAAATTGCAGTCTAGACACAGTTCTTCAAAACCACTCTTACCTGTGATGAAACAGGTTTAGCACAGAAGCTCAGGATAAGAAGACATAACCAGAGCTGGACCTTAGGTTGCCCAAGTCTCATGAAATTCATCTTTATTTTCCCTCCATTTGCGCTGCGATCTGCCAATTTAAACACAAGCCTGAGCTGCTTGTTTTGTATCCTGTTGTATATTTGCAGAATATCCTTCCCCTTTTTTGTAAACGAACATATCCCTGCGAGATCTGTGCTGTCATCCTCTTCATTAGCCAACTTGACACATCCTTTGACATATTTTCTATGGTCTTTTCTGCAAATGTGAACATCTTGGCCCATTGTTTGGAGCTTCCTTAGAATATTTTTTTCTTTATTATCATTCTTTTCATTGACCTTTATACATTTAACTCCATGCAGTTCTTGGATCTTTAAAGAGTTCAGCACGGTTCTAGGTTTATGGATCTTCACAACGGGTTCTGGAACAGTCCTGAAGGATGCAGGATCTTCAAGAACTGGAATTTTGTTCTGAAGCTTCCCCAAGCTGTGTGAATAAGTGATGACTGTCATGGCTCCGGGATTCCACGGTTACAGGGACATTTTTACAGACCAGGGCCCCTAGGGTGAAGCTACTGAGATTAGTCCTCAGTTACACAGTCTCTGTCCCTCACCCCCACATCCGCAAATCAGGCAAACCACAACCAAAGCCTCCACATGATAGGTAGGATTTCACAATCTGGAAAAAAAAAAAGAGAAAGAGAACTGGTCAGACCAAAATCCAACATCAGACAAATCTGAGGAGAGTGAAATGCCATGCAGGCTATTCCCCGGCCAAAGCCCACACTATCATGTACAGCTTGATGGAGGCACAGCTCAACTGATACTGCTACATTGCCTCTCGCTTTTCTTCATTTTCCATTGAATTAAACATGCCCTTTTTCCTTCAGCATCTGGCCCCCAGGTTTTATCCAACTAAACAGGTTCTCAAATAAGTTTGTTGGAAATTGAGGCTTAGGCCAAAGCTCTATTTATTACAATACTTTGCAGCTTCAATTTCACATTTTGACACACACACAAAAAAAGAGGCCAGCCGTGTAGTCATCTCAAGTGTTATATTACATGGCCCCGGCTCTTTGCTGCAAAGTCTGTTAGAAAATAGCAAAGCCTCCCCCTGAATCTAATAACGCATGCTTCTCTCAGTGCAGAGCAAATTTATAAATCTATGCAGATACTAAAACATACTAAATATGTAGTAGTGGCGGGATATTTACCTCCTATAAAAACCTCTTCCCCATCATCCGTCTGCCATCGACCAGCATTCCACTTGTTGTTGCATGAGTCAAAAAAACAAATCTTCCACAGGTTGCTCCTCACACCTGTCAGCCGGTAAAATAATTAACTTCCCCCCTCAAAGGTAGTCTATTGTAAAACACGTCTAAATAACTTTGTCCGTCTTCGTTTACAAACATTAGGTTAAAGCTGAACTTGTTGAAGTTGTTATTCCTTTTTTTTTGTGCCTCCCTGTCTCATTCAGAACATGCGGCGCGCGCTATTAAGAAGATTACCTCGCGCTGCCATCTGGCCAGCAGCGCTGGAGGCGGTATGATACCAAGTAACGCGCCTGAAACGTTACACTGAGGACCGTGTAACGGAAACTTGAGAACCCTGCAAGCGGAGTGAGAGAAAGCTGCGCCATAAAGCCATTTGGTATCAAAAACAGAACTCTTTAGATTGTTTTGAAACTGAAAGATATTACCATGGGATTCAAATAATGCCCCCTCCCCATGAGGCTGGTAAAGCTTCACCGCCCACCTACGTAGGATGCGTCTGGGTTTCAGACAAGTGGCTCTCAGGACCAAAGACGAAAGCTACTTCAGTCTCTAAGCAACGGTAATCAGTGACACAACCACTGAGGAAGCCTGGTGGGGAGAAATATAATGATCATAATAATAAAATATTATATAATATCATTGGAATGCAACTAGTGCACATATTTAAACAAAACAATGTTAAATATAATACAATTATACATGAGTGGTTCTACGCAGGGGCCAACGGGGGCTAGTGCCCCTTTAAATCATGTCCTGGCCCCTGTACTGAAGACATAATACTACTGATGATATGTACTGGAACAGACATGGTTACTTATTGGTCCTATGGATAATTTTTTTTTTTTTTTACAAATTCTGTTTTACTAAATATTTTTAAAACAATAAGGTGATAGCTTCAGTGGTACTGAGATACAGTCCCTGTTTTCACCTGCTAAATGTTTTTTTCCAAGACCAATAAAATAAAAATACTTGTTTTACAGCTGGATTTTGAAAGAAAACGGTTATTTTTACTCCAATTAAGTCAAAAATATGTAAAATTCCACATTTATTGACCCAATTAGACATATAATATTTATTAAACCTAACTGAATTGAAATTTCACCTCATTTAGCTATCTGCATATATCTGAATCCCTTGCCCTGTTTCATAGTTCCTGCTTTTCTGTGGCCCCATGAAAACACACTGGCTCCCTGGTACCTTTAGTCTAGAACCGCCAGTGCAATTATATCTGGTTTGAACATAGCAGTGGCATAGCCAGAAAATTTTAATAATAGTGACCAGGCAATAACCAATGTACACTGAGGGTTGGCTGAAAGTGGATCCAGAACCTCAGGGTCAATCTACCCTGTTCCAACAGGAAAACGAACGAGCATAACTATATTTTCTAAATAAAGACCAACTATACTTTCCTACAGCCTTTGCTAACAGAGGTGTCAAGTAACAGAGTACAAATACTTTGTTACTGTACTTAAGTAAACTTTTTAGGTATCTATACTTTACTCCATTACTTATTTTTCTTTCTACTTCTGATTTCTACTCATTACATTTTCACACAAGTATCTGTACTTTCTATTCCTTACATTTTCAAAACAAACTTTATTCATTACTCTTGGCTTCTGTTTAATGTTTATACATATTTATTTCACTTCATGTGCGCCATCCAATGCAGATCATTGGCGCCATGCACACCTAGTGAAAACTAGTGTAATAGGATGAGTCATATAACGTAAACATTGGTTATCTATTGGTCAAATGTGTGCTGACCCCAAAGGAAATCATCAGAAGCAAGCAGGTGTTCTTCAAACTGCAAACGTGAAAAAGATTAGCGTAGACTGGACAGATGATGCCAATGTGATTTTATCCAATTTTATGTGTTTACTATTATTCTACATTAAAGGTATAGAGGACGATCTTTTATTTCTGGGTGGATCATCTCAATAAATGGTCCTCCTAATTGTCATTCATTCTGGGGATTTGTTTACATAAGGCTGTCCCGTTAGCTTTCTTTTTCTGAGCATTCGCACTTTCAGGCGTACGTCTGACGTGAGCTACGGTTACAGCCAGTCACTGAAGCTCACCTTTCTCACCACAGTTCTTTGAAAATGGTTGAGGGTCTTAAAAGAAAAAGTGTCTACGAAGTGTATGAGAAGAAAAGGAAAGCCTCAGAAGAGGCAGATATATCCTAGAATGCTTAGGGATTTGCTGTCACAGCAGCGCGCTGTCGCCATAGGCTGTTGCTACCTGACGGCGGCGACCAATAACAAAGATGGCGCAGGCACCGTGGCACAGAGTTGTTTTAAAGTGGAGAAGGCGGGTCTTTTAAAAAAATTGCGAAAATTCTATAAACTGTTTTCATTTCCTATTACAGTATCACAACTTGCTTTCAGTTAGGCCAATAGCAAACACAGCTGTAACCCCTTTTTAACTTAAGGAGGGCAAACAGGAAGTTTCAGACACAAAAACAGGATTTTTAACAATAACTGTGGGATAAACTTTCATTATAATCTCTAGGGCTTATAGTCAGCATTATAAGACACATATGTAAGCAGTTTTCAGCATATAAAGTAGATATCGGGGTAAGTAATCCATTAGCTGTCCACGAGGAATACATTGATGGGGTAAAGCCAATTTAAATTTTACTGTTGCTGGGGCGGTTCTAGAGGGGTGGCCAAGGGGGCCAAAGCCACCCCTGGCCAATCATTGCCCTCCCCTGTGGCCAACCCTACCAGTTGAGTTGTTGTTCTCCCAGGGATGTAATTTGATACCCTTGGAACAAGCAGGTCTCTGCTAAACCTGATGGTGGCAGCAGTGATACCATCATTTTCTACAATGACCTTTTAAAGCTGGTATATTAAGCAAAAACTGAATACACAATGTAGCAAAAATTATTCACAAATATATACTATAAATAAGGAGAAGTAATAGAGATTGTTTGCTCTTTTATAAATTAGTTTTTAGATTTAATAAGGGAGAGTTTGTCTGTAGCCACCCAGGACTCATCTCCAAAGAAAAAGAACATTGCTCAACCCATTTAATGTATATATCATGTAGAACCATAAATAAGTTTAAACAGCGCTAATGTATAAATATTGACATGGCTTTATTAGCAAGGAAAAATCAAAATCTGGTCTGTTGTATCTGAAAATATAGATGCTGTGTTTGTACCTGACCCCCCCTCCCATCAAGATTTTCTGGAAACACCACTGGTCAGGCACCATGCTAATGTGGCCACCTCTGGAAATCCTTTAGCCACTGCAGTAAGAGTTTCCTAGAACTGCCACTGGGCACACATATTGATTTATTCCTGCAATTTGCATTACAAACAGCAAAATCTTATTGGTAAACTTTAAGCATGACTCTTGCTTTGAAAAGCAATGATTGAACATAGACTGTACATAAAAATTAATTTTAAATCCCTATACCCATTTTCATGGCTGCATATAGTATTTTTATTTTCCCTGTATCTTATCACACAAACAAGAAAAACAAAGGCACAGGTATCCTGAAATATAGATCCCTATGCATCTGTAAATTCTCTACATTTTAACTATGTAAACATTTCTACTAAGACACTGTTTTCTTTTTGCTTTGCTCTGCTGACAGTTTTTTTTTTTACGTTATCATACTAATCTCATTTGAACAGCTGCAATTTGCTTTGCTCGAACAAAGGCATTCAAACTAGGTTTTAATTAAGTGTTCCTAATGACCTTAAGGAGATTAGAGGTTCGCCTTCTAATCAATACCAGGCAGAGAGCAGCAATGGGAGGGGAAAGAAGTAGAAGGGCGGTGGCTAGGGGCTAGGATAGAGGTAAGGAGAAAGAGGTGGGGGAAAATTAAGGCAGTGGAGAGCGCCAAACGAAATATAAATTAATTGTTGAAAGAAACTTGAGAGTGAAAGGGAGAGGTTGTAAAAATCAGAATGTGACTGAGTAGTTAGTTAATTATTATCTAATCAAAAAAAAACCTGACTTTTCCAAGGGTTTCCCATGTATTTAAAAAAATGGCCTTGCCAAAATTGCTTAAGGAAATGTTTTCTGTCTCAGAGGATATATTTTCACTATTGTTAAAAAATTGACAAGATTTTCCAAAGAAATAAAGATACTTTTTATGTTTAAACTTCATAAATATATGTTTTTGCTTTTTATTCCCCATTTTTCTTAAGAGGTGAAAACATTACACCATAGTGTCAGACTATAATCACCTAGAGCTTTGTTATCCATGAAGAGTTCCTCTTATCCACTCTTCATGAGACATTTGCATAGATTTGTAAGAAGTGTGTCCACAAGACAAAGAATCTAGTCATACATTGATTGTGCTAATTTATTCAGCAAGGCGCAGTCAGTTCCACAGATTGAAGAGCTATCAGAGAAACATTTTAAAACTCGATCCAGAGATTAATATTACTTGATTTTCTAGATTATTTGTGCATGATTTTATTTTCCTAAATTGCATTATCCCATCTAATAATGTTAAGACTAATATGGTTAATGATGGCTGTAAATGTAATGCGCCTCTAAGTCTTTAGAGTGGCATGAATATTTATGGAGACATCCTTGCCCTCTCTGCTGATTAGGAAAAACTAGAATAAATTGGTGCTCTATTGGATCTTTTTCTTTTATAGATTAGATATATATCATGAAAATGTTACAAAAAAGACATCTTTTACATAGTCCATAACCAACATGTAGAGTTGGTCAGAAGTTTACATACATTTAAAATGTACATAAATACATTAAGGTCTTCTATAATGGCTTTGAACGGGTCTTTTTGCAGCATGGAGGGATGATGCAATGAACAAATCGATTGACTTTATTCCGATTTTCTCTAAATGGGGCAACATTAGAAATATAAATACAAACTCAAAAGTATAAATATTGTCCTACTAATTTTGGGATTATTTCTCTTAAGCAATTTGTAAAGAAATGTTAAGTATTAAGAATAATCTTTGGTGTCATTCATAAAAAAGATGGGTTAAATATAAAAGAAATCGGGGTTAAG